CGTTGATAACATCCAGATTAACGACCAAGGAAGCAAAAAATTGATGATTTTTGGCAAATAGAAGATTTAATAAAATCCACTTACCTATTTCTGTCTTATTTTCATTGTTTACGCAATTGGAAAATAATTTTTAAAAGAACAAGGAAAAAAGTGAGCAGGGCTCACTAATACCCCCGACTTTGACTCCAACATACTTCTTAGTTCAAAACATGAAAAAAGCAATATTTTCATAATAATGAAACTTTAAACTACATCTCTCCTATTGGTATAGAGAGTGTTCCTTAAATTTGAAAAGAATCAATGAAGTAGTTGTCAAGTTATAAGTTGCACAAACTTTACAGTAAAAAAACAAAACATGGAAAAATTCACTTTTTCTCAGAAAATCCAAATATTGAAATATAACTTTGCACTGCAAAAGTATAAAAAGTCTCCTATTGGTAAAGAAAGGGTTCACCAAGTTTGAAAAGAAGTTTTCAAGTTGTAGGTCGGCGGCTAGGTCGCACACAAATATGGCTTCTGAAGGACTGACAGAATTCCTTGGTATAACTATATACCCCTACCCTGTTAGGTCAGGGGTATAATAACATTGTATACTTCTCAAAAATAAATTAAGAACCACCCTGATTCATTCATATTACTATAATTACTCTGTCATGGCACTACAGATTAACTGCAGTAATATGAAAAAAATTGGGTAGTTCTTAACTTTTTGTGGAGCAGTATATGTAAGAATCTGAAGATGAAAAATTAATGAAAACAATTTTTTTCTTTTGACTGCACCCCTCCATATGACACAGATTATATGTACTAAGTTTGAGATGAATCCACTGAATAGTTTAATTGAAATCGCGCGGACAAAGCTTTCGGATGGACGGACGGACCCTTGGTATAACTGTAATACTAATTATAAATAGTATCTGTCATCACCCATATCCTGATAACAGCGGCTGTCCGTTCAGTAACATGAAGAAATACCCCTGTTTTCGAAGCTTCGTATGAATAACACGTTTGTCAAAGACTGGCATATGAAACATCGCCAGAAAGTTTATTCCTTTATCTACACACTCGTAACATCGCCTGGAGTTTTTTCGTAGTTATAACGTGCGATTTCATTGGATAAAAAATTGGTTTCTAATGAGGCTTTCTTGCCTAAATCTGCTACAAGGTTCGTGATTGGTCAAATTTGGGGCATCGAGGCTTCATATGAATAACACGTTTGTCAAAGACTGGCATATGAAACATCGCCAGAAAGTTTATTCCTTCATCTACACACTCTTAACATCGCCTGGAGTTTTTTGTAGTTATAACGTGCGATTTCATTGGATAAAAATTGGTTTCTAATGAGGCTTTCTTGCCTAAATCTGCTACAAGGTTCGTGATTGGTCAAATTTGGGGCACGTGACCCAAGGCAGCCAATCAAGTTACAGCTATGGTAGTGCCTCGTGTTATAAATTTCAGAAGTTGATGAAAGATTTTTGTTAAATCGTGTTATTCTGAACATTTTAAGCAGGAAAACACTATATATATATTCAAAATAAGGAACTTCATGAATGTATAGTGCAAGGTTAGGGGATGTGACAAAGATTTTTCATGCATATATTTTTGCATTAAACATCGTGTCCGAGCTGAGAATTCAAAGCTGAGATGTCATTTCACTTACATTACACAAGATTGCACTAAAAGATGGGAATAATAACTTAGATGTAAGTTTGACAACTTTTAGATATATATTTGTTGGTTTTATTTATTACTTTATATATAAAGATTTGCTTGAAACGTCTTTATTTTGCTCCTTGACATGTTCGATCAGACCCGTTGTCGAAGTGTGTGGTAAAATATAAAATATATCTATAAGTTGTCAAACTTACACCTAAGTTATTATTTCCATCTTTTCGTGCGATTTTGTGTAATGTAAATCAAATGACATATCGGCTTTCGTCGCCTCGATTTCTCAGCTTGGATACGAAGATTCCAATGTCCCTGAAAAACCTTTGACACAGCTCCTAACCCAGCACGATAGATCCACGAAGTTCCATGTTTTCAATTTAGATCGCGAGTTTCCTGATTGAAACATTCAGAATAACAAAAATCTTTCTCCAAAATCTTAAATTCATTACACACGTACCATTGCTGTAATTTGATTGACAGCCTTAGGTCATGTGCTCTAGCTTGACCAATCACCACCCTTGTAGCAGATATCGGCAAGAAAGCATGTTACAGCTACGAAAAGACTCTGGGCGAGGTAAGTGTAAATGAAAAATAAACTTTCTAATACAAAGCTTCAAAAACGGACGTATTTCTTCATGTTACTGAGCGGACAGCCGCTGTTATCGGGAAATTGGTGATGACAGATACTATTTACAATTATTTTTAAAATACTTCTCCGATCATGTAAACAATGAAAATAAAATAAAAACTGACACTTAAAGATTTTAACCACACACTATATTATGCTCAGAATGGCCTAAAGTTTACCGTTTCAGGTCCACATTTAACAAAATTTCTTGGGGGGGGGGGGGCATGACCCCAAACCCCCCTAGATAGCTTCACGCCAATGGCGCTTGCGGCTACCGCATCCCAGAGGACCCCATTATTTTGGAACACAACACAAACACTGAAGAGTTAATGGTTTCCAGCAAATTTTATAACATGACACTTTAAATTAACCCAAAGGTTCGTATTTCTGCAACTGCCTCGAAAATTGAGTGTTTTTTCTGTTTAACGTATGGTTAATAAATTTACTGAAATGGTTCATAATTTACTGAAATGGTTCATAATTTACCATCGTGCTGTTACTTACCAATAAAAAAAATGTGAATTTTATATTTTTGTTTGTGCAATGATAATACCATCTATGTCATTATTATGCAGTTCATCTAGTAGTATCTCAACCCTAACACTTCGACTTTTCCACTCACCACTAGTATCTTTAAATTGTATCCATTGCCCATGTGCTTGTATGGCAGATTGTTTACACTTCCACTTCCGGTTGTCTCGATCTCAGTTTATTTCTTAAATTGTTTACAATGTTTTTCATCACTCTTGTCAGGCTGATTGCCCTTGTTTTAGTATTATTCTCCCATAGCCCTGTTATCTTTAACCAACATTCATGTAGATAAAATTCCTAATATAATCCCATATCATCTTTCATTACCAGGCATGTGCAGTGCTAAGGAAATGACATCAAATGTATATTTATGTAAATTCCTTTCAGCCTCCATCTTGCAGTGTAACCATTGTTCTGTCAGGTCAATTTGTTACCCTCCATCCACCCCTTCACCACCTTGGGGCTGCTTGGTTTAGGTACAATATTTTGGCAACTCAGGCAGCAGCATTACATGGCTTGGGGCCCCCAAAGAATTCCTTACTTTACCTGGTCTGGTGAAGCCAACAGTTTCCAATACCATACCCGCAGGGTACCCCAATCCTTCAATTTCATAATAATCTGCTTCCTCTACACCTCTCTACCCGCAGGGTACCCCTATCCTTTAATTTCATAATAATCTGCTTCCTCTACACCTCTCTACCTGCAGGGTACCCCTATCCTTTAATTTCATAATAATCTGCTTCCTCTACACCTCTCTACCCGCAGGGTACCCCTATCCTTTAATTTCATAATAATCTGCTTCCTCTACACCTCTCTACCTGCAGGGTACCCCTATCCTTCAATTTCATAATAATCTGCTCCCTCTACACCTCTCTACCCGCAGGGTACCCCTATCCTTCAATTTCATAATAATCTGCTCCCTCTACACCTCTCTACCCGCAGGGTACCCCTATCCTTCAATTTCATAATAATCTGCTTCCTCTACACCTCTCTACCCGCTGGGTACCCCTATCCTTCAATTTCATAATAATCTAAGGACATTCTGTGTGTGACCGAGCAGCCCCCTTGTATACATCATATATATCCCAATGTGTAGTTAATTATATTGTTTTTACCCTTTGTTGTGTTTTCATTGCACAAACATCATATCTATACTCAGTTAAAATTAAGATATCACAGATATGATTATTGAAATCAATTTGCACAATTTTAACGATTTAAAAAGGTTCCTGACATGAAACGTAAACTACCTTCAATAACGTAATTCAGGCAGGTTCATGAAAATTACAAAATTTTGTGTTCGCTTTGGTCTTAACCTTGGTATGATTGAAAACATCAGGAAACTTTTAGATAGTAATGTGTAGTTTTCTATCAGGAATAAATGTGCAAAATATTTCTTCAATTGGCCCTTGTTAAATGATTTTTGTTTGTTTGGTTTGTTGTTTAAGCCATGCATGTGACACTGTGCCAGCAAGTGTGGCCACACAAAAGATTCTGCACAAGTGGGTGACCAAACACAAGATAATGCACCCATCATTGACCACGCATGTGACACTGTGCCAGCAAGTGTGATCACACACAAGATTCTGTACCAGTGAGTGACCAAACACAAGATAATGCACCCATCATTGACCACGCAGGTGACACTGTGCCAGCAAGTGTGATCACACACAAGATTCTGTACCAGTGAGTGACCAAACACAAGATAATGCACCCATCATTGACCACGCATGTGACACTGTGCCAGCAAGTGTGGCCACACAAAAGATTCTGCACAAGTGGGTGACCAAACACAAGGTAATGCACCCATCATTGACCACGCATGTGACACTGTGCCAGCAAGTGTGATCACACACAAGATTCTGTACCAGTGAGTGACCAAACACAAGATTAATGCACCCATCATTGACCACGCATGTGACACTGTGCCATCAAGTGTGATCACACACAAGATTCAGTACCATTGAGTGACCAAACACAAGATTAATGCACCCATCATTGACCACGCATGTGACACTGTGCCAGCAAGTGTGACCACACACGATATACTGCGTCTGCATAAGCAACACCAAAAAAACTTCACCTTGACATGACATGACAATACATGAGGATCAATAAGTACAAGAATGATACCAACCAAATACCTGGACATTAAAAAAATAAATCCAATTACCTGAGTGAAAGACCTTCCGTTCTCTAATCAGAGCTCCTAGTGTGTCAAAAATTAACTGATCATTGGGCATTGTCATCTCTCGGTACCATTCCACAAGTTTTTCCTTGATAGTGTCCAATGTGGCCACAATCCGTCGGTTATTTAAATCCATAATGATCAAGCACAAAGCATCTGGCAGAGGGATGAATTGGGTCTGGGGAATGACCTGCATCTCAATACCATTCACATCACCTGAAGAACATAATGCAAAAAAATAATGTTAACATATATATATCATTTAGAAGAACATGTAAAGACAATGCAGAAAGCCTTTTCACTTGAATTTGAATGTCACTAAACTTGATTTTTATCATTGTTTATTAGTCATCTAAGCACACTTGATTTAGAATAGGCACCTACATATAATGCAGACTCCATATGTAAGAGGAGCATCGATGTTTAGTAATATTTGTCATTAATTTTACAAGCTTCTTACTTAGTCATGATACTGATAGTATGCAAAGGCAAGTACAGCGTAAAACATTTACAATCCAAAATACAAAAAGTGGCATTATTCGTGTTGATTACTGGCATTGAAACAACAGACAGAAGACACATTTTACCTTCTGCATGATACACTACTTTGAAGAATAAATAGAGCCAGACTGTCCTACAGCTAACCTGAATTTGTCAAAAGTTGATGACAACATTATATCATAAAAATTGTTTGCAAGTACCTGCAAAAAGAGGCACAGCCCCACCTCACTGCTATTTCTAAAGTTTTCAGAACTATGCATTTCTAGTGTCACACTATTCATTACCTTTGGTTTTGTGAAATGAATTCCTCCTCGATTAACATACCTGGCCTCAATATGACATAATTAGGAACTTTATGGCATCACTTCAACATGTTCAAGTCAAATGAAATTATTTCTGGTTTTAGAAACAGATGTCCAATGTAAGACAACTTTAAAACAGAAAGTCATATGTCTCTAATTACCTTAATATTGTTTGTTGTTTAACACTGAAATCAGCAATATTCTGCTACCTACGATGGCAGTCTGTAAACAACTGAGTCTGGACCAGAAAATCCAGTGACTGACATCATGAGCATTGATCTACACAATTGGAATACGATGACATGCATCAACCAAGTCAGAAAGGCTGACAACCTGATTCCATTAATTGCCTCTTACGACAAGCCCTGGGTTGCTGAAGATCAGTTATTACCCAGACCTTCATGGGAGAAATAGGCCAGATTTTTATATTTCTTGTTGTACAGATCTGTCGAAATTCCTCCCCAAAAATGATAGAACATAGATTCTTCGAGTATTATGCACAGTGAAAAACTACATAGCATCCCTTAAGGTGATAATAAATTTGGTCAATAGAAATGTGAAATTTGCAATAAAACATCACAATGTATTTTCTGTTCTTAGTCAGATCTAAATATTTTGTACATTGGTATACTTATCCTGCATTACTCCTCAATGCATTTACTGCTTACCTTACGACAAAGAAAACAGCACCTCGTGATGGTCCTGGGTGAAAAAAAGAAAATGCTGTTTCCAACTGTTTCCGAAATGTCCACTTTTTACAGGACCACCGCCGCTGTCATGTGAGAGATTGTGATGTCACATCCAAACCATATTACTGCTCGTCACCCGAGCTAACAAAAAGAATTACTGAAGCTATATTGGGGAGGGAGGCAAGTCTGCGTGGGTTGGTACTTAGACATAGTAATGCAGGATAAGTATACACATGTAAAAAATAATTCAGATCTTACAAATGTTTTTACTTATACCATGTATACGGCATTACTCCTAATGCATCTGTACCAGACGGTATGGTGGTGGGTATACCTTCAGATGTCAGAAACCATAAGGTGGACAAAAACATATAACACCGGACGGTAGGGCTGGTTTAATCTTATTCACAGACGGAACATGCGAATTGAATCAGTCAAATATTTACACACTGTGTTTAAAGTCAAAGCTGCCAAAAAATCCTCACATCGGTAGTGTCGTAGACAGTCCTGAGAGAGACACGTATGACTAGCTCCGGTCAGGACGTTCATTATTTGTGTCAGGGTTTGGTTACCTGCTGGCATATCCTGCAAGTCAGAACGATCAGGGAATCAAACGCGTTGATGTTAGTCCTGAGCAGTCTCTAGATAGTGAGGTGGAAGTAAGGCAGGTAGCGCTCGTTAAACACAGAGACATTGTGAATTATCCGCATCTTGTCTCAGTCCTTTTGGGGTACCAGAAAGATGGGAGAGTAAAAGCCTGGTGTCAACTCTGGGGTGTGTACAATCTCTTTTCTTCAACAAGATGTTTATGTTGGATTTTAGTAGCAGATGTTGCTTCCTTGAATCCCAAGGCGGAGGAGCCGTGGTCCAGTTCTGCCAGAGGTGAGGTGAAATTGGGTTTAACGTCGCGTCCAAGATTATTGCACTTATATAGCGACGTGCATGCACGTGTGTGTGTTTGTGTGGCTGCTTGTACTAGTCCGGACTGATGCAGATTTATAGTGCTAGCCCACTGAGATACCATGCCGCAGTTTAACATGAATACCCCACTCAGACACAGTACACTGACTCCGAGCCGACCAGTCCTTGTTTTAGCCTCTTAATGCCGAGCGCCAGACAGGGTAACAACAAGTACCATCTATTAGCGTCTTTTGGTATGACGCAGTCGGGGATCGGACCCCGGACCTTCCGCTCCCCGGGCGGACGCTCTACCACTAGACCACGGAGGCTGTCTCAGTTCTGCCAGAAGAGGCTCAGTCTCCCACCTATGGGGGTGTCGACAATTGAGACGACTGTGGGTGGGAGGTCCCAGTCGTGACTGTCCAACGCTTCAGTGTTCCCCCTCGTATCCCTGTCCCTGCCTTGGAATTTTCCATGGTGGGACTGAAATGAGCCTTGTGGTTTGCTTCTGCCACACCCTTTGCCACGAGTGAGTTGAAATATAACGTCATGTCGGCATTATTTCAACCATATAGCCACGAAAGGAATCTTGGGTCCTGGGCCCACTTGCACAAAACCATCTTAGCGTTAAAGCCCCATCTGCGGTAGTAACTACCGCACTCTAGTGGGCGGAGCTTATACAAGTGATTTGACAGGTCTATATGACGTCATGATAACACATACATTTCATTGGTTAATGCGTAAACGGGTGACGTCATGTAAACACCCACCCACGTTGGTCGTTTGACAACAAGGACGTAAGTTTTAATGGTAATATAAATAACTACAAACGATTCCAAGACTTTTCAACAAACGCGTATGTCTTTGCTTTCAAAACCTACTTGCCATGTCGTCTTCACATCTTCATAAAATGATACTGTGGAATGTCCACGATTTATCCAACACACAAATTATAGTTCTAGATCTCTGGACTAGAACGAAATACGTTTGTCGTGATGCATATGAGCAGTGTAAATGAAGAAACATAATATGTGTTGGGGCACCAATCGCTATCCTGTGGTGTACGGTATATCTGCAGTTTATAAATAGCATTTCTCACAATATATACAGTAATCGGTGATTTCAACAATGTTTTTCTTCGTTGTGTTCGTCTTGCCTCATCTGGAATCTGGATGACAACGATCGTGTAAAAAACCCTGGTAATGGTCAAAAATATTTTCAAGTGATCAAAGTAGTTTCTTGTCGTTTTTTCATTGCCCAGTAGCAATGTATTTTGGCAAAGTCTCACTTGTCCGATGAAGCTCCTCATGCCGAAGTAACTCGATCCGTGAAACTTGGCGGGTCCCAGTGACCCAGATCCCTGATGATTGGCATGCCAAGTGTCATTTGCATAAGGCCATCCATATTTGTGTTTCTCCCCTCAAGCCTCAACTAATCAGAGACCGGGCGGACGAAATAAAATATATGACTCATCAAAAAATGTCTTTCAATAATTGTGTAAGTTATTTGATGACATTTTAAAAAAAGGTTCAACACTTGGTACTAGAATCTAGTCTATGAATTAATTTATGATGTAGATCGATTCGCTTTGCTTCGGAAACGAATTTTTAATAAACAACGGAACAAAGATAAAGTTGACCTGGTTCTTTTATGACGGTGCAATTGTAGATCAAGTAGTATTTCTTTTATTAGATCGGTGCGCAATTTTCCACAGCGGCAGCAAAATTGAGACATGAAGACATTATATTATTTCACGTCGGAATGGAGATAAAAATATTCAAATACGGACAGCCTCACAGACTTTGAAACGATGTTCAGATAAATATTTGTTCACATTAATTCCTTCATGTGCGTGAAAGTGGGTTTCAACATTACTTTCATCAAGCTTACATTCAGGTCGCTGGCTACTCGGCATTAACACATGTTTTGTCTCGAAGCTCAAAGCAACAATGTTTCTCTCAGATACATTTTTCTCTCCATCCATGACAAACCTCTGTCCTAATGTCAATGCCTCAACATTCCTGGGCAGCTGATTTCAACAATGTAATACACACGGCCTCATTCACGGCGTCATCGCAAAGATTCCTTCCAAATACCCACCACGTGATCAGGGTTACGACCTTGGGATAAATTAATAAATTATTTTGCATTTTTAAAAAAGATTTGTTTTCGTGAATATTATTTTTTTTTAATATTCTGTACATGGTACTTTTGGATTGCACTGGGCATTTCTTTTATTACTTTCTAAAACTTTTTATTTTCGCCTCTCTGACCACACGATCTCCTAGCAACCACGCCCCATGAGCTCATCGAGTTGCTGCTTACAACTGTCAAGAACTTTGCAATTTCGCTTGTCTTCAATAAGAGCAACAGAACATTTTCATGTGAAGCCTAATTTGACGAAGAATTGTTCAAGATAATCAGGGAGCCTTAGGTAATTTCGATTATGACATTGGTGACTTTATCGTGGAGAAAGTTCCAATTCAAGATGACATCATTCCGATTCACAACTTGAATCGACAAGATGGCGCCTCTCTTCCCGCCCTTGCAAGTGCAACAGAAACTTTGATAAATTCAGTGCCGATTCTTGGGATTAGTGAATCAGTGTCACAGCTAGATTTCATTGTGGAACCAGATGAAGCCGAATATGTATGTTCACATTTCTTTTATGTCAACCATGCGTGACACGGCACAGGCAATCGCAGTTAGGGAATGGTGCGGCCACCATGTTGCAGAAATTCGTCGATTCGAACACATTGCTTCTGGACTGAGCTAAATAAACGAAGTGTTTGGAGAGATCGTAGATCATTGTAGATACTTGGAC